AGTAATAAAGCCACTGATTAAAAAAAATAGAAATTTGTAGAAGACAGAAAGATGTCCACACTCTTATCCCTGGAAGCTGTTCATTTGTTACCTTACACAGCAAAACGGTTTCTGCAATTACAGGTGAGCCCAATGTAAAAATCAAGAGTCCCTGACAAGAGGGTCAGAGAATAAGATGTGACAACAAGAGCAGAGGTGAGAAACAAGAGACAGAGAGAGACCTGAAGGTACTATACTGCTGGCTTTGGAGATGGAGGGGCCATGAGCCAAGGAACACCGGCAGCCCCTAGATGATGGAGAAGATGAAAAACAGGGTCTCCCCTTAGAGCCTCCAAAAGGAACACAAGTATGGTGACATCCTGATTTAGCTCCAAATCTTTAAATCTGTGTTGTGTTTAAGCCACTAAATTTGTGGTGATTTATTATAGCAGCTATAAGAAACTAACACAGAACACAAGTCCATATCAATGATTGAGTAATGGATTGATTGATTGATCGATACATAGATACATAGATGGGTATATAGGTATGCTAATTCTTATCTGTTAACTTCGTTAAAAAAAAACAGGTTTATATTTACCAAGCTCGAAACACTTTTTTCTTATTTCAAAAATATTTTTCATAATTATGTAATCTTTTTAATTCAGTATATCACACACACACAAAGATGTAACAAGTCTAAGTATATATCTCAATTATCTTTCACAGTATGAACACACTCATATAACTAGCACCCAGATCAAGAAAAGGCATTACTAGGACATTCCAATGTCCCCTTATAAACCTTTCCAGTCACTACCTGCCCCAAGGGGAATCACTACCCTGAACTGTAATTCCTTAGCCTTGTCTGGTTATAAACTTAATACAAGTGGATCATGATATTTTGTTTTTATTACCTTTGACTCATATTACCTTTGTAAGATTCATCCATGTTCTTAAGTGTAACCGTAGATCATTCATTTCCTTTGCTGCACAGTATTCTATTATATGACTAAACCATAATGTATTTATTTATCCATTATATTGTTGACTGGCATTTGGACAGTTTCTGGTTTGGGGCTGTGAGCATCCTCATATACATGTTTTGGTGAACATACAGTCACATTTCTACTGAATGTATACATAGAGGTGAAATTTGCTGAGTCACAGTATGTACACACACACACACACAATTTACCTTCAGTAGCTACTACTAGTTTTCCAAAATAGTTTTACCAACTTACACTCCTACTAGAAGTTTTTGAGAGTTCCCAGAGTTCTACGCCCTCACCAACTCTTGTTATTAACTCAAAAATTTGGTTTAATTCAAGTTAAATTGTTCAATATTCACCCAGCCTTTAGTTTAAAAACTTACAGAAGGATAGGCTTTTCATTTTAAAAAGTATTATGGCTTTGCTTACTTTTTAAAGTTAAACAAATTGAAATATATTTCAGGCACCTTATGTATATTATTGCCAAATTTTCTAATATAGAGTCCTCATTTTTCCCTTTGCAATTAATAACATTTTTTTGGAAACCACCATGAATGGCAACAAACCGTACAAATCAAATTACTAAAGTATCTGACTGCTCTGTGGGTCACATTGATGATTTCCAACTCTGAAGCCCTAGATGATCTAAACTCTGGTAAAAATCTGTGCCCTGCGCTCAGCAAGAATTAAATGAATGTAACCATTTCCATATAACAAAGTATTGATCAGTGGCCTTGAATATATTTGTGCTAACATTTCAAACAATGTTATGCTCCTTTGGGTGCTGGAGCTTCAATTTCACATATTCCAGTCATGCCCAAGAAGAGGTAATTAGAGGATTTTCCATGAGCTACAGCATGAAAAGACATTTTTTATGAAGTCCATGAGTTACAATGATAACTTTCCTATCATAATACAGCCTGTACTTTCCATTTTATTAGGATAGCACTTCATAATTAGAAAGTAAACTAATTAAATACCTAATTAAATGTAAGTATAAATATTTGTAAATACTAGGTCTTAAATTATCCACAGCATTGCTGTTCATTAAGGAAAAGAATCAATAAACAACACTCAAACAAGTAATATCTCTATGGAAGACTGAGAAATCGTTGCTAAGAAAGTGACTATAACAAACGTGGTTTCTTGAAATAGCGGGTATGATTACTGGGATTAACCCTCTCACTGAAAATTCACAATGAAAAAGCCAGATAAAATATTTAAAAAACCAAAACCTTAAAAATACTTAAGATCTGAAAAGACAGTAGGAGAGCTTTGATATCAATTTCTGAATGAAAGCCTTAACTAGAGAGTTGAGTAGAATATATGAGCGTGGAACTGACGTGCCCTGGAGGCATTTACCAGTAACACAAACACATGCAGGCAGCATTCATAAGGTCTCCAAGAAAACAAGATGAGGTAGGTAGGTACGAATAAGATATAACAGACACCACATCACAGTCTCCTGATACTGAAACGATCATAGTGTAAAATAACTGCATTTAACAAATGTGAATCAATAAATCACAAACTGGAAATATCTATAAGGAACAGGAAATTATAGAAAGCAATATAGTAGATCAAAAAAAAAAAAAAAAAACCCAAAACCAGACAAGCAGAATTTCTAGTGATAACATAACTTCTACCCATGACAAACAAAACTTCAAACACTGTGGCTGTATTTGGCACCAGACCAAACATAAAAGACAGAAACAGAGCAGAGCAGCAAGAAGAGAAAAAAAGAGAGAGAAAAGAAACAGTAAACAAAATTAACCTAGAATATAACACTGAGGGAGAAAAAGATGAAATGCACAGAAAGGCAGTAAGAAGTAGAGAGCATACCGTGTAAGTTCAACGTACATCGGATGTGAGGTGCTGACGGAGACAGAGCAAAGGAGAGAGAAGGTGAGCAGAGATGATGGCTGAGAAATCTGCAGAGCTGAGGAAAAAGGATAATCCACAGATTCAAGAGGCACAGAACATCCTAAACAAGATAAACAAAGAAGAGTTCATGTTTAGTTACAACATAGTGAGTCTACAGAAAACCAAAGACCCTCCCCCATCCCCCTCAAAAGAAGTTTTAAAAAGAGACAAGGAACAACCAACTAGGAGCTAACCTCTCAACAGAAACAACTCAGAACGTGAGATAATGAGATCGTATCTCCACAGGACTACACTGTAGCAAAAATAACTGCCAACCCAGAACACCCAGAAAAAAATCTCCCTCAGGAAACAATGACTTTATCAGACAAAGAACTTGTCACCAGCAGCACCCGAAACTGAGGAAAACTGTGTGTGTGAAGCCAGACAGAAGGAAAGGGAACTAAGAAAGAAACAAATGCAAAACAGGTAGCAAATATGTGGTTAAGTATAAATGAATGTTCCATTATAAAACTAATAATGAGTATTATTTTATCATTTCATAATAAAAGAGTTAAGAAGGAGAGGGAGACAAAACAAAACAGACTTTAAAATGTCAGGCAAAAATAACATACGTCATGTGGGACTAAATGGGGTTGGGTGGGCTAAGGTTTATATTTTTATTTAAAGAAATAACAGTTTCTGTTTACATTCAGCTTTTAATAAATTAATATGCATGATGTAAATTTTAGGCCAAGCAGTAAGAGAGTAGAAAGAGTATATCTAAATACTAACTTTATCTAGAGGAAAAATTAATGAAAAAGAAGCTAGTCAATAGAAAAGATGATAAAGTAGAAAGAGAAAGAGAAAATTAGGGCAAAGTTTGAAAGAAGATGGTGGAATCAATCCAAATATACTAACAATTACAGTAAATGTAAATGGAGCACATGTTCCAGTGAAAAGTCAAATTAGATTTTTTAATATATAATAATATAAATTAAAATACATAATTAATTAAATAAAATACTATATGATATTCATGTGATACAGATCTAAACATAAGAACAGAGATGTTGAAAGGAAAAGAATGAGAAAAGATATATCAGGAAGAAAGTAGGTATCATTATATTAAGTTGGGACAAAACAGATATTAAGACAAAAAGCAGTACTAGAAAATAAGTCACTTCACAATGAAAGAAAAAGGTCAATTTTCACAAAATGACATCATAATTTTAAATTTGCATGCACCCAATAAGATGGCTTCAAAATATATAAAACAAAAACTAACAGAACTACGCCAGAAGAACTAAACAAATTCAAAATACCCTTAAAGGAGATTTATACACACCTCTCTTATTTATAGAAAAAAAACAGACAAAAATTAGTAAGGATAGGAAAGATTAGAAAAAAGATAATAAATTTAACCTAATGGATATATATTCAATACTATACCAAAGAGCTGCCAAATACATACTTTCCAAACATACAGAACATCTACTAAAAAAAAAAACTTATAATGGGCTCTGAAGTAAGTTTTAATAAATTTTAACAGACTGAAATCACACAGTATTTCTCTAACTTCAGTAGAATTAAGTGAGAAGTCAATTATAAAGTCTTCACTCAGCTCACCTAAGAATCACCTTAAGGCAAAGAGGTTCTCCAGTAGGGGCAATTTCACTGCCCAGAAGACATCTGGCAATATACAGAGAACTTTCTAGTTGTTGCAACTGAGGGGGAGTGGAGTGGGTGCTACCCACATCTACTGTGTGGAGACCAGAAAAGCTGCTGAACATCCTAAGAAGCCCAGGACAGTGCCCACAAGGAACTGTCCATCTCCAAATGTCCATAGTGCCAAGGTGGAGAAACTCTGGTCTTTGAATTTATGCTACTGGTTACAACAACTATTCAGGCAAGGGGTAAGAAGGAGCAAGTTGGGGGAAAGGTGCAGATCAGAAGAGAAAGAGAATAATGAGCCAATAAAAGTCCAAAAAAGAAAAAATCAACAAAGAAGGAAGGGATTTATGTTCATCCTGTCAGGGGGGCAGCTTTCCTTAATGGTTATTTCATGTGAGGAACATATATGAACCAAGCATATGTAGACTATTCTCTTTGTATACAGAATTATCAAGTAAACAAAAAGCAGCTTTTTCAAAAGCTGCTGGAACTGACCGTAGAGCAATAGTCTTTCAGTAAAATAGGATACTGTATCACTGCTTCAAAAGCTGACAATGTGATCTTGATAAATTCTTCTGATGCCGTCGGTCCTAGAAATATAATTATTATAGGTGTTTATTTACATGACGAAAATCACAATATCAAAATACCTTAAGCAAAGATATAACATGTCCCATGGTCTACTCACCTATGGCCCCCTCTATGTTAGTTTCTCCAGAGTCTACTGATTTAATATGATTCTGTAAAAAAATAAAAATACCAATAAATGAAGGTTTCAAAATAACTGACATAAAATATAGATAACGTTTTGCCCACAACTGCACCTATCATTCTTAATAAACTAACTTATGGTAAGCATTAAATAGTATATACATATTATGAACATTATAATCGTTTTAAACTACCATCATATGAATAGATATATACACACCTGAACTATAACCATTTTTAAACATACAAATCACCAGTGAGATTTAATGCTGGAATCAATTCAATAGCAATATAAGGACAGAAAGGTCAACCTGCAAAAGTGAGGATAATCCAATTCATATGTAGCCACGGCCAACGTGCCGCACTTACTCACTCACTGCCTTGAGAGTTGGTCGTAGTGGCACTGAAGCAGGTGAAATAGTCATCTCGAGAAAAGTCAAGCCTCAGCCACCTTGAGTGCAAACTGCATCAAGATGCAGCAGTTCAAATTTCACCACCTGTCTGATCCCTCTTAAATATTTCCTACTCCAGCCAACTCCCTTAACTATGCCCTCGTCATGTCCATAACTCCCTAGGGGATGACCCTCAGCACTGTTTTAGAGGCAGGTCTGAGCTACTTGGCTGTGGATTCCCTGGGCAAAGCTTCCCAGATCCCAGCTGAGTGCTCTGGACAGAAGAGGTGCCCTGTGAATGTAATCTGAATGAAACAACCATTGCCACAGCTGTAACGGGCAGAGCACCTGTGCTGGTGATGTGTGAGGCACTGCAAATGAGTTCCTGCCCAGGCTCACAAAGCAATACAGGTATCATATTTTAGATATAATAACAAATAGCTAATAAAATATAAGATGGCCTTGGAATAAAAGAATAATAAAATAAGCAATTAGCCTGGAGTGGAAAATGGATCTACCACGTCTAATGGATCTTCTAAAATTATTTTGTAACTACAAAAGACTATACATAACATATACAAAATAACTATATGCAATAACTGTATCTATACAATATATGTATATACTATATATACAACATATATTATATATAAAATATACATACTATATATACACACAATAACTATAAAAGACTATACATAACATATACAAAAGAACATAGAGGTTTTATGTTATAATGAATAAAGAAGACCCTTAAACCTGCCGTTCAAGTTAAGAAGTAAGATATCCCCAATTCTTGAGCTTCCTCCATCCCACCTGCCTGTCATTCCTCCAAAGACAACCACTATCATGAATTTATCATTTCCTCAGCATGTTCGAATAGTTTTATCATGTATACATGTGTCCCTAGTCTATTATTTGTTTGGGTATTTTTTTAGCTTTACTGAAATGATATCAAACAGTATACAGTTCATACAAATGGAACAGCATGCTGCCATTAAAATGTAAAAAAAAAAATTAAGATGAGAAAATAGTTATACTATGTTAAATGGAAAAAAGAATACAAATCCATATATATGTAAAGTTCCATATATCACTTGTAAGTTGTTACATATATATGGATACATAGTTTTTCTACACATAAATGCATATAAATGACTTGAAAACACTAAGTAAACAACAATACGTTAACAATGGTAGTTAACCAGTGAGAGTGGTACAGCAATGGGTGATTTCTTTCTTCAAATATCACTTTCTACATTTTATTTAATAAGCATATATTTTATATATGTCTACATTTTTTTCAGTCTATAACTAAAACAAAAATGACTAATAAAAAAGGCTAATAAAGAAATAATGTAATAAAAAATAAAGAGGCACTGTAAGCTTTGCATAATTTGGTTGAAATAATTTCACAAGATTCCAAAATGGGTTCATAACTTTTGCTGAATAAATATAGATTTGATGTACAATAAAAAATTCAGGAAAAGATGTCTTTTGACTTAAACGAATCTACTTAAATGTTTATGGATTACTTAAGCAAAGAAAGAAGAGACAGCAGTGTTTATATTATGATCTCTCTATACAATTTTTAAAGAATATGTAGATAATACACAAATAAAAATTTGAACAAAAATTTCCAAGGAAGAAATCACAGGAACCACTAACAGAAGCTCCCCTTGAGGAGAGGAAACACAGGCCTGGGGGGGTGCGATTTCATGATTCATTTTCTGCCTTTCTGCACTGTTGGAATTTTTTAACTATGTGCATGAATGCATTTTTTTTTCTTTTTTAATGGCAACAAGGGTTTTCTAGATGGTGAAACTACAGGCTTCTTTTAACTTATTTTCTTCCTTAAACTTCTCCCATTTAATTTTCTAAAATCCCTGCTGCATGTTTCATTGATTAACCAATTTAAATCTCTTTTGATCTATTTCTTCTTTTTCATTCTCAGTGTAATAGGAATTAATCAGGTGCTAGACAGGACAGGGGAGGAGGCACTGGAGATTCAAGAAGAGGAGGGAATGTATCAACAGTCATCTAGGTGAGCTTGAAGGTATGTAAATGAGGAAAAGGAACACAATGTCCCAGGCTGCGGAGAGGGCTCACTTGAGATGAGCAGTCATGAATTTTAAGTGAGATCAGTTATTTTCGTCTCATTTTTCTCTAGCCATATTTAGCCACTCAAAGCAGAGGTGGGGTAGACAGAGAATTAAAGGGAACCAAATCTGAGTTTGGCAGAGGAGGACAATGGAGGAAGAGACAGGAAAGGGATAATGGGCATGTTGCAAGGCAGTGATGGGGGCTGAACCCGGGACTCTAAGCTGAGAAAGGGGGGAGTGAAGTCACTAGGCCCCAGGAGGGTACAGTGGTGAATGCAATGTGTGAGGCCAATGTAAGTCTCAGAGGAAAGAAAGGGCTGTTGGAGATGGGGAGGCGAGGAGGAAGTGAGCTGAAAATCAGGTGTGGTCGCTAGACAGGTGATGCTGAAAATAAGGCAATGGGTGTAGGCGGCCGAGGGAGGGAAAGACAAGCTGGAGGAAGGAAGAGAGGTGGTTGAGGAGCTGAGAGGCTAAGGTGTTGCAAGCGTCCCCTTGGGGTTTTCTGATTCTCTAAGAATGACAGGGGCAGCATGGAGACCTTGTCTGCCAGCCCAATGCTAAATGACTTTGAGAGCGAGAGGTAATGACCCAGAAAAATCCAGAGACAACCACAGCACAGGGGGCAGCAAGGCCATCTTCTGAGGGTGTGAGCTTCAAAGCTGGCAGTTTTATTAGCAGGGGAGCAAAAGAGATGGACACCTACTCCACAGGCAGGCTCACTGGGTGGAGGACTGTGGGGCAGAAAACAGCCCCATCTAGAGGGACAAAGGGTGAGCTGTGCCTCCAGGTCGACCAGTGCTCTTCAGTGTTACTCAGTGCTTCAGAGAAGCTGACAATAAGTTCTCTAAGCAAGCTGGGTATATGAATTCAAGCTTTGTTTAAAAAAAAAAATTTTTAACAAGGACCTACTGTATAGCACAGGGAACTATATTCAATTTCTTGTAATAAGCTATAATGGAAAAGAATATGAAAATTTATGTGTATATATATGTATAACTGAATCACTTTGCTATACACCTGAAACGTTGCAAATCAACTACCCTCCAATAAAAATTAAAATTTAAAAAAATTTTAAAGGGGAAAAAAATCTCACAATAAGAACATTTGTGTGGCAATGAGTAAGTACATAGCATATTTTTTTAAATGTAAGAGTATTTATTACTCTCTCTGCTTTATCTGCTACAACTTAAGTCAAAATCTATCAACAAACCAACATTCACTTCAAATAAAAATCTGCAGAGGGCAGGGAGTGTGTCTTTTCTTTTAATAATTAGCTCAGTGCCCAGGGTAAGTAGATTTATTAATGATGAAGATTACAATTATATTCTCGTGTTAAAATCTAACAGGATAATTTTACCATTTCTTTTAGTTAAAATTTTGGATCTTGATGTCTTTTCGTATAAAACTATAAACAGTGCACAACCACTGTACTTTTGTAAACTAATGAGGCCAGAACTTAAGAACAAACACAACTAAGTCCTCGTCTCAGCTCATTAATCTAGAGCATTTTCAGAAAGACACAAGCAGCACCGTGAACATGAGGTTAACGTACATCATAAGTTCTCAGATTTCCTTAATGTCATTACTTCCCATTTTTCAGCCCAAAACAACTATGGTGAACTCCCCACAGCACTCCCCCAGATGCTTTACTGCTAACAAGCATCCTGTCTTTTTTTTTTTTTTTTTTTACTGAAGAGGGAGGCAGGTATGACGGCTCATTGCTTCTGCCAATAAGAAGTGAAAACAGCAATTATCAGGTGTGTAGTCCTCTTTGTTCTGGACCCTTTGAAGGCTTAATAATGGTTTAAAAGTGTCCTGCTAAACTGCTTACAAACACTTGCCTCTTTAAAATATAAGGAGATCAAGCCTTCATTTTACTTTGGAAAAAAATGTTTATAAGAAGTTAATTCCTATATTCACGTCTCCATAGTAAAAAGTATCCTGAATTTTTCTACCAAAGAAAACAAAAGCTATCTCTAAGTCAAACTGAAGCCAAAGGGAAGCACAATTCCAACGTCCTCTCCAGTCTGCACCTTCAAGACCCTTCTGAAGAGTGGAGATCACACCAACCCTGACTGCTGTGTCCTTACCACCCCAGGCAGGCCAGCAGCTCCTGGAGAGCTCCTTTAGCAGAAGCCCAAGAGGTTGTTAGATACAGCTGCTAACCGTGGACCAAGCTTGAACACCTCAAATCAAGGTTCATTTTTAAAATATAGAAGGACAACAGGCCTGCCACAATACAGTAGCTACTCAACCAGATACACTTTGAAAAATACTAAAACTAATATTTATCTCAATAGAACAATAAGGCTTTCAAAACACAGTGCTAAGGATGTACATACAAATGGTCTACTCTCTCATACTACCAGGACAGGAGAAGCACTGCGCTCGGGCCAGTTCCACGAAGCCATCCTGCACACTAGTCTACAAAACACTGAGAGCTGTGCAGCCTCCCCACTCCCACAAAAAGCAAACAAGAAACCTCTCAAATAATTTCAGGAAAGCTTTGCCTAAGCAAAATTTAATTCTTTTAAAGCAGAAAACTCAAGAGGCTTTAATGTGCTAATCTGCACAGTGAACCTCCCAGGGGCTGTAGGCTGCCATAGGAGCTGACTGTGGCATCAGAGGGGCACTGTGACTCCAATATTTTTGGTATCTTCTGGATAGACTGAGTTAACTCAAAGAAGCAACATTGAGCACTCAACAGTTCATAGTAACACGCTCTAGAACTGTATCAGCAACTATATCCAGGTCCTTAATTTTAGCCAATACTTCTCTCCCCTGATTAGTGTCTCATCGCTGCCATCAACAATGAGTAAAGAAAGATGAATGCACAGCTAAGGCCAAATAACAGATGTGGTAAGAAAAATAACAAAAAAAATTCTGGGACTGGCCATGACTTCAACTAGGAAAATAGCCAGAAGAGAGTCAAAAGACCTTTTCCATTTTATGTGCTAACCTCCCTCTACGTGAGTGACATTACCACGGAAAAGACTGTGGAAGAATTTTCACTATCATGATTACCTTTGAACCAGGCAAGTTAATTTTCCATCCCCTGAAAGTACATATGTTAAGAAAACCTTTACAGAGCCCTACAGAACACCCTCAATGTGCAAAGGGTGCACCTACTCCTGGGAGGTGAGGAGGCCCATCCTGAGTGTGGCCCCCTCCCTTGTTTGTAAATATAGCATTACATGGAGCAGATGTGTTGTTCCTAAAAGATGTATATGCAATTCCCCAAAGGCCTTATAGACTCTTATATTGGAGACCATCCACAGTTTCCTGGATGCCTAAAGTGTACTCAGTTAACGTAGAACAAAGTACTACACGAGATAAAAATAAGAGAATGAACACAGGACAACTGTACCTATCCCAAACAAACAAACACTGTGCCAAAATTTTCCAAGGTGGGCTGCAAGGGCAAAATTACTGTTTTCATGCATAAGTATGTCAGTGTAATGGACTTATACAGAATTATAGTCTTGCTACAAATGGTGCACCTATTGTACTTTTAAAAAGATTTTTAAAAAGCAAACTAAAGGAAGTGGCAGACAAAATTCTAATAATTTTCAAATTCATGAATGTACTACCAAAATTATGTACTTTGTGGAATTCAAGATTCAAGGATAATAAAGATTTGAAACTGAATGCAAAGGGATCCCTAGTGCACCGCCTAAACACACTGCTTACTGACAGCCAGTGACTTCTATCTGCTCAACATTCTTGCTTCCAAACACCATACTTCACCCTATGATGAACTTTCTACAAAACCAAATTCTCACTTGTGGGTGGCTACCGTTTTTTTTTTTTTTCCATTCTCAACCAACAATAAACTTGAGATGTTTACTTCATTTTAACTAGATACCTGTATGATACAACATTTTGAAAATCTCAGTTCAGTGTTTATTATTAATATCAGAGTAAGACCGGAGATGCTGGGTGACAAATGTCTTAGCTTTCCCTTTGTATAGATCCTCATTTCACCAATAGAATATACTGTAACCATTCCAGGCAGGGGAAAAAGGTAACATAATTCACCAGCTACAACCTGAACAAAAGACTGTTTTCTGTGAGCAAAAACCGAAGTAAAAGATAATATAATGATTTGTTTTTCATTGCTATTCATCACATCAAAATTAAACTAAAGCAAAGGTTAACCTGAGCTTAGAGAAATGCCATCACAAAAAAGAGACACTGTATGTAATTGGACACTGTTAGCCAAAGTAAACGATACTTAACCTATTCCCAGAATTCCATTCTTACCAGTTTTATTATTTTAAATTATTTCATGATGTTTCATACCAAAATCTAAGAAAACGTTTTCTATGGACCTATTTACCCTACTTGGGTCTGTCTCTGAACAAAACGCATTATCAGGAGAGAATGTATTTTTCCCCAAATGTCAAACTACATTACCATCAACAGATAAAAATATAAAAAGGTCACTTCCCTAGAGACAAATAAATACCACTAGGATTTTTAAATTACTTCATTCTGACACCAGATTCCACCAACAGTAGAGACAGCCACATTTTTATTAGGAACATGAAAATTCAGCGGTACTCACAAGAATTGTTCCGTAACTGAAAAGGAACTCTTCGGTTACAACTTGAGGTCGAAATACCTGTGTGATGAGAGTTTCCAGAGATTAAATCCCGAAAGCCATGTACATGGAAAAAAAAAAAAAGAGAGAATGTCCTGAGTTGATGCTTCTGACCACCAGTTAGCAAAGAAGGGAGTCACATTTATATTTTTTCCCCACAAGGGATGATACCTGAGAAGTTACAAGGTGAAGCACTACAGGCATCAGTGGGAGACACATCTTCAGCTGCTTCGCTTGAACCGTGGATGGGTGTTTACGACCAGACACGTTAGCCAAGGCGTTAAGAATGTCACCTGCAAAGCACATCCCAAAGCACACATGAGGTTAAAGGCCAAAAGTACTTAGGGACCACTGGTTGCTGCTTGAACTCTAATGGGATGGCTAAGGTAACTAATCTCCAAATAAAAGAAATGGGTAGAAGCTGCATCATTTAATTCAAACTCTTGAATTCCAACTGAAAGCTGTGGCCTCTGGGGACAGAATGGATATAAACCTGACCTCTCACCAGGAAATTTAAAATAGAATTTAGAAATGACTTTTCTGTGATTAACAGTGGGGGAAGGTGGTGGGAAGGGATAAATTGGGAGTTTAAGATTTGCAGATACCAATACATATTAAATAGATAAACAAGTTTATACTATATAGCACAGGGAACTATATTCAATATCTTGTAGTAACTTATGGTGAAAAAGAATACGAAAATGAAGATATGTATGTTCATGTATGACTGAAGCATTATGCTGTGCACCAGAAATTGACCCAGCATTGTAAACTGACTATACTTCAATAAAAATACATATAAAAAAGCAGTTTTTCTTCCTTTTTTGGTACTTTCCAAATTTGAACCATGAGCACTCTTTACTTTTGTCAACAGGAAAACATGATTTAAAAAGTTTTTAAGTGAACAGACTATAGATCAGAATTTTTTAATAACAGAATAGAATGTAAGTAGTAAGAGACCAATTCCCAAAACTTCTCATTGGATGGCAAGCCCAGTGAAAAATAAAACTTGCTCTGTGGATATCTGAATGTTAACATTATATCGTAAAACAAGATAAGTCAGATAATACCAAACTCGACTACCAACTAACAAAATCATGGCCTTCGGGTTGAAGAGTTTAAAAAGGTTACAATAAATTGTTAATACTGAAATGCTCTATTTTTCAGTCATTAATAGGCAAAAACCTACAGTATTAGTAAGGAGCAAAAAAGTAACTGTCAATCAGCCATGAAGATATTTTCATTACTTGGACTTCATATTCTGAATTTTTGAGTCTAAGAATCTTTTACCATAATGGGTTGGATCAAATTTAACATTTTAAACATGTCTGGTTTATAGCAACATCTGCTGGAAAAGCACGGAATGAGAGGTAAACTAAATGTACACATTCCTTAGATTATTTTAATTTCTGTAAATAACAATGGAGCAATGAATTTTGTTAACTATAATAAACATCCTTTGTAAATCATTATTATTTTCACCTTAAATTTTTCAGAGAAATTTTTAAACTTTGAACTTTAATATCAAAATTCTTTCATATTAAATGCTAATGCCTATGCATTTTTAAATCCTTGTAACAAAAAATAGATTTGTGGTTGTAACCTGAAGGGAACATATTTTTCTTCAGAATTAGGTAGAGAGAAATCTTGAAAAAAGTTACCTAAAATAATAACCTAAGTCCAATTTTAAGCATTAAAGATTTTTAAATGTTTTCCTTCTGTTTATTTCCAAAAACTGCCAGTTTACCACAGATAACACCACAGTTCATTGCCTGTTCATTGCCTCAATCATGTCATGGACATAGAATAATTAGGAAAACAGATAAGGCACATTGAAATTATGAAACTATACGTTCAAGAAAAAGTGTCATTGCACTTGCCTGGAAAAACAGATCAGTAGGAATAAAAAAAAAGGTGATGCCTAAAAGCCAAGTCACAGAAAGGTAAGCTGCAAGGCGCCTGAGAATGAAACTCCAATTTACCCAGGATTCGCGGCATCTCCTGCACAATATGACGGATGAGGAGGTCCAGGCATCTGGACAGGTACTCATTGCCGCTTTGCTGCTCTTTGCCTGGAGTGGTCTTTCTGCTGTCTCTCTCGATGTACATCACCAGTCTACATACAGGAAAGGGCAGAAGATTACCTCTCATGATAAAACAGGTGATAGCATCTGTCTGAAAATGCCACCAAGGCAAGTGCTTCCAGGGGGCACAGTCCCAGGCATGTTGACATTTAGATTTGTAGCAACTCGTCAGGCAGTCTATTCTTGCCTTAGAAAAATTGAAACATTTATGCAGAGAGAAAATATGGCGACTCTGAATATCTCTGCCAGTGTATTACAAAACAGTGCCCTGACTTCATCTGCCTTTGGCCCATGAAAAGAACCCACACTCTTCACATGACAGATGAAAGGCAATCAAAGGCATCTGGAGAGAAGAGGGCTTTAATGTTTCAAAGATTCAAAGTAGAACCACAAGTTGTCTGCACTTTTGTTGGTCATCAGTCTTAAAGCTGCTTGGAATCCCAGGCAAGTCACATGAATTCCTGTCTTTCACTAAATTGTGTATATAAATCCCAAGAAAAACTTTCATTTCAACACCAGGTGACACAGATAGCAGACACCATGAGAACATCTGGATTTCACCTGCCCTTTTGTCCACTGGTTTTATGATATCTGTCACTTAATAAACCTATTTCTTCTTCAAACCACTGGCATTCATTAAACATCAATCTCTGAACCAACTGCCTCCAACCCAGAACTAGGGGACAGAGGGATACACAGTACACACCACTCTAGATACTTAGGGTATTATTGAAAAGCTTTAGGCCCACGTTGCATCCCCTTTGCTGGACCCACTAGTTATCTCCCCAAGTTCCTGGTCCCCTCAACTCTCTAAAGAGCAAAGAGTTTCCTGATTTCATACAAAAAAGCCCCTTTACTGCCATCTCCCTTCTGGACTCCCCTGCCATCAACCCATCTCTCCAGCTCTGTTGCAATCACTTATCCATCCAACTTCTACTTCTCACAACTTCCAAAAACTCCCACTGTAAACTGAGAGCAGTGGTTCTGTACATGATACATACACGTAAAGCACACTGAAATCTTTTTTTAAACATTTTTTATTGATTCATAATCATTTTACAGTGTTGTGTCAAATTCCAGTGTTCAGCACCATTTTTCAGTCATTCATGGACATATACACACTCATTGTCACATTTCTTTCTCTGGCACACTGAAATCTTAACACTTAGCATTTATGTAGTTCTCTTAGGAGATTTGTGCTCGCTTTTGCCTTCCCTGTTTACTACGATTTGGAGCCCTGTTAGTAAACACGTGGGGATGAAACCAAATCAGAAGTTTTAAGTTCCATATAAGCCAGTTAGCATCCCTGTTTTAGTCACTGATTACAGCCCTAGTCACATTCTACCCAATATGGTCAAAATGCGGAGCAAATACTGATGAGTCAGCAGACAGGTGTTAACATGACAATGAATTTGGAGCACGTAACTTCTTGATGAGTAAACCACAGAACCATCTATTATTTGATGGTAAGTGGAAACTGAAAACTTCCTTTAAAAAAAAAAAAGCCTCCCTGTAAAATGTGGTGTGATGTAAGATGTGATGAAATGAATGGGACCAGCCTGGGCAGCCAGCCAGCTGGGGGGCTCCCAGGATTCTGCAGCAACCCCGACAACTTCTTGATTAGCTGACACCTGTTCCATCAGCCCACTCTAAGGAGCGGGACCAGAAAAATGTCGTCTTCCTTTTCTGATCCCCAAGATGAGTTGCCTGATATCTCCCTGCCCAGCCACACCATCTGCAGAACTACAGTCTTTCCAGTGTTAAGGATTGTGGCGTTTTAACCGCATCCCCTCCAAGGTAAGAATTTCAAACATGCCTTCTGACCACAATCTGCTCATATTCCTACTTGCAAGTTCTCTGACTGTGACGGTTCCTTAACCTCCTGGGAACTCCCCTCCCACTAACTGATTCCAGGACATCTTCTCCCAAGCCATCAGGGCTTCCTTCTCTTCACTTACTCCCTGTTTCAATTACAACCCACCCTCTGTCATTTCATTACACTCTTGCCCTTTCTTTTTACACCCAGGTATCCCCATGATCTGGATGAATCCAATGATCAACTTTCTGTGTATCTGCACAGAGGCTGCTGACGTTACACGTGGGCAGATTCCCTCCACTGCACTGGCTTTCAAGGGGCGAGCAGGCAAACCTGAGTTCGGTAAAAATCTTGTCCCCCAAATTGCTCACATGTTTAAAACCCTTAAGTGGAATGACTTTTCTTAAAAAAGGAGTTCTTAAAGCTCCCTATCATAACCCACAAGGCCTGTGGGGTCTGGCCCCCAGATATCTCCCCAGCTTCCTCTTGCTCTCCCTCCCCTCCAGTCAGACTGTTTTTCCTATGGTCCCTCAAACGCAGTACCTCCCCCAGCAGCAAGGGACTGCCTCTCCGCCTGCATGCCTCTTCTCTCCCCGCTGTGCCATATTTCATAAGTCACTGCAGTTCTCATTGACTTCCTTAAATTAAATCTATGACATTGTCTCACAGCATAGAATACATTAAGGCCCTTAATTAAGGCCCCTACTGCCATTTCTTTATATATATATATTTTTTTATGATCTGATGTTTGTTATTCCAGTAAATTTAAAAATACCCAAGGGCAAGGACTGTATCTGATTTTGCTCACCAGAACATCATTCCACTTTTGGGCATAGAGTTCTTGACACAAAACAAGGGCTCAACAAGCATTAGCTGAATAGATACATATTGCTGTTGAAATCGCCATCAGACTTTACCTGGTTCTCCACATCAATTCCTTGGGTCCTTATTGTTCCCCAGGCCTTTTTCTTAATCTACTATTTGATATGTGTTTGAAATTTATACCACTGGATTATCTAAGAAGTGAAAATAACTTCTGCTTAGGAAAAGATACTATGAGGAAAATCAAAAGACAAATAAATTGAGGACAAACATTTCCCCCATTTGGTCAACAACAGATACATAGTTGGTATAAGGGTACCAACTTTTAGCTACCAGATAAATATGGTCTGAGGATCTAACAGAAAACATGCTGACTATAGCTGAGAACACTGTATTGTGTGGTTGAAATCTGCTAGAAGAGTACAACTTACACGTTCCCACCAAAAACAGAAACAAGACAATATAAATACACGAAGTGACAGATATGTTAACTAGATAAAGGACCCTTTCACAAGGTATATGTGTGTCAAAGCACCACAATGTACATTTTAAATGTCTTACAATTTTACACGTCAATTATACCTCAATAAAGCTAAAGAATTTGTAAGACAGGTGAGGATGGTGTAGCTCAGGGGTAGAGAGGCTACTTAGTATGCACGAGGTCCTGGGTTCAATCCCAAGTAGCTCCATTTAAAAAAAAAAGCAAAACCCTACTAATAAATAAACCTAATTACCTCCCCCTGCCAAAAACAAAGAACCACCAAAAAACAAACAAACAAAAAAAAAACCTTGTGAAAAAAAAAACTTGTAAGACAAACTGGGAAAAATATACTCAACTCCTATCACAGAAGGCTATTATATGTGTGCACACACTCATATTTACATACACATGCATGCACGCATATACATTGCTCTCAGATATCAACTAGAAAAGACTACCAAAGCAAGAGAAAAAATGATCATGGGATTAGAAAAGAAAATATAATGGCCCAGCAAAAAGATGCTCCACTTGGCCCATAGTAAGAGAAATACGTATTAAAATGATTTTTTTAACCTGTCAAATGGCCAAAAGTTAGAAAGTTTGGTAGCAAAGATTATGGAGAATCTGAGGATACCAATACTCTAGTCCACTGCTGGGGGAAATGTAACTTGGTAGACATCCCATAAAGAGTTAGGTTGGTAGTAGCTTCAACATTTTAAATCTAGTACATAATTCCTCCTCTAGGAACATATTACTCTATAGATATACTTGACCACATGACACACATTAAAATTTGAGGTGGGAATCGTCCAGCAAAAGAGGACTGGTTAAATAAAATATAATTCATCATTACAATGTAGCTATCCAAAAAAATGAGGCCACTCTACACATATTTTGGACAGAACTACAAGATATGTTAAGTAAAACAAGCAAAGTTCAAAACAGTATGATTCTGTGTAACTAGAGGAATAGAATCTATGTTTCCTTCTGCTTGGATTAAAAAGAAAACTCTGCCAAGATACGTAAGTAACAATCATGCTTAATTTTGCATGATGCTGATCTGGGGCAGTGGAGGATGAGGTGTTTCATTTCTTTTTTAATTTTTTGGTTTATGAACCATGAGTATGAGTTATCTATTCAAAACTTAAATTAAAATGTTTTTAAAACATCAAGTAGTATCACTGTCCTACAGAGCCAATTTCTAAAAGAAAATTTTAGGTGATGCCGGTCAGAACGGCAACCATTAAAAAGTCCACAAACGATAAATGCTGGAGAGGGTGTGGAGAAAAGGGAACCCTCCCACACTGCTGGTGGGACTGTAGTTTGTTGCAGCCACTACGGAAAACAATATGGAGATTCCTCAAAAGATTAAAAATAGACTTACCATATGATCCAGCAATCCCAGTCCTGGGCATATATCCAGAGGGAACTCTAATTCAAAAAGATACATGCACCCCAGTGTTCATAGCAGCACTGCTTACAAAAGCCAAGACATGGAAACAACCTAAATGTCCACTGACAGACGGCTGGATAAAGATGTTGTGATAAACACACACACACACACACACACACACAATGGAGTATTACTCAACCACAAGAAAGAATGAAATAATGCCATTTGCAGCAGCATGGATGGACTTGGATATTGTCATACTAAGTAAGTGAAAGAAAAATACCATATGATATCACTTATGTGGAATCTAAAAAAAAAGACACAAATGAACTTACTTATCAACAGAAACAGACTTATAGATGTAGAAAACAAGCTTATGGTTACCAAAGAGGAAAGGGGGTGGGAATGGATAAATTGGGAGTTTGAGATTGGCAGATACTAACTACAATATATAAAATAGATAAGCAACAAGGTCCTATTGCATAGTACAGGGTCCTATACTCAATACTCTGCAATAGCC